AAAAAAAAAAAAAAAGCTCGTTTAACTATATATAATTAACATTTTCATCTGCATAATTTTGCATCAATTTTGCAATAATACTTTTATTTTTACTGGTTTTTTTTTCTAGATTTTTGATGCTTTTTTGATACTATTTTTTCCTTGAAAACCAGACTAAACATCTATTTACTGCATAGATAGCTTTAAAGCAATCAAGTGAATTTCCGTTTTTGTTGTGTGTGTGTGTGTGTGTATTTAAGTCTGCTTAAAAGTTAAAAAATTTCAAAAACAAACTTTTTTTTCTTTATCACTGTTCAACTGATATACGTTTAATTGTTACGTAGACAAAAAAAAATTTGAATAAAATACAAATAAATTCAAAAAAAAAAGAAAAAAAAAGGAAAAAATTTTGTTGTTGATAGTAAAACTATTTACATTGGTAAATTTAGTGAGATACGGAACCAGAAATTGATTGTCACTGTTAGCGGATAGGAAATAAACAGTATTTTCAATTTGGCTTCATTGAAGAAAATTTAGCTCAAAAAAAAAGACCTGCAAAAAAAAGATTATTTTCATCAACGTTGGTTTTTTTCATCCGTTTTTCCTTTTTTTTTTTATCTGTTTCTTCTTTTTTTTTTTCTTTTTTGCAGATATTTTACGATATAGTCAAACAAATTAATCGAATACAAAGCCAAAATTTTGCAAGCACTAAAGCAAAGCAAAAAGGAAAATTGAAGGATGTAAAAGCCGCTAAGGGTAGCCTAAATTCCAGCGATGATGAACAACCAAAAAATGGTTGCAGTTGTGTCATCTTATAGACAGGTAAAAAAAAAAATGATACCTTTTAAAAGTTACCAATAAATTTATCAACTCTTTTCATGGTGGTTTTAACGTATTGTTAAAATTGATAAGTTTAAGCGCTAAAAGTTGCTGTATCAATTAATAGATTTAAGAAACCCGCTACTTTTTATCAGCTACACATTCACTATTGAATTCAATGTTTTATCGTTTTGATGTCATTATCAATTTCAATAGTACTTTTTTTTTCTTTGAAACTGCTTTCAAACCTGTATTGCATTCAAGTATAAACTTTTTAAATTCCAGCAAAACCCCTGCAAAACGTGTTGAAAGATCCAGTTGCAAATGGATTCAAAAATTACGAAGTTTTATCAACAGTCAGTTTTCTTCTTCTTATTCATCTTTAAACATCGACATTATCACAGCAGCAGCAGCAGAAGAAGAAGAAAAAAAAAAGAGAAGCAAAAAAAACAGCACTGTGCATTACATAAAAAAAATAAAATAAAACGATGTAAAGAATAAACTAACAATGAAAAAATGTCTGTATAATAACTGCTTTTATTCATCAACAAAATATAACTAATAAAATGATTCTGTATATATGTACAAAAAAAAAAAAAAAAGAAAGCGGAGCTGAATAATACATTACGAAAGTGAAATAGTTAATCAAAAATCAGTACCTATAATGCTGTTCTATTTTCATTCCTGAAAAAAGTAGAATAGAATAAAATAGAAAAGAAAAAAAAGGTTGATAACAATAGTTTTATAGAGCGTTTCCTTTTCCCTTTCCAATCATTCCCAGTTTTTTCATCATCATTTTTTTTTTTCTCCGAGATCTATTAAAATAAAAGTGGAAGGAAGACTATTTGTTTGCAATTTATTCAGCTTCCCACTATTTCAAAACCATTATCCCTATTTTCCAATTTCTATTGTTAAGCCATATATAGTCTATTCAAAAAGATCCAAATTGAAAGAAAAAGTTTTAAAGATCAAAAAATGATTAAAGAAAAAAAGAAAAACAAAAGTGAAGTAGAAAAAAAAAATTAGCTATTAAATTTGCGATTACTTTCAGCTATATCAGTAATAAATTTTAATCAAAATAAAGCAAAAAAAAAAAATTATTTATAATTTTAGCAGAAATTGCATACAGTACTGTTGTTTTTCATTTAAATTATTTTTTATATTCACTATAATTATTATCGCTATTATTATTTGCATTAATAATCACCAAATATGAACGTCTGTAATAACAATTCCTATCTTAATAAAAAAATAATATTTTCGTTCTATTTACAAACAATTTTAATCTTACCACTAATAGCAAAAAATATTTTTTCATTAGTCTAAAGTCCTTGCAAAAATCAACCCTGTATGTGCTTAGAATATAATCAAAACTTAGAAATACAGAAGCACATAAGATTGTCGCCTGTTGCAAAGCTGTTGACAGATTTTCAGAAGGAATGTGGTCTGTTTCTTAACCATTCAAACCTCTAAAACAGAATTAGCTTTTGCTGCCAAAATTTTCGGAGATGAGCTTTGTTACCGCAACTGTACATTGGTCGTCAACAGTTCTCAAACATTCACATCAAAGGCTATCATGGGAACTTCCATTCATCCTCTATGTCACCTTCAAAAATTTCTGTGTTTCAATAACAAATAGTTTATTGTTTTACAAAAAGAATCCAATTACTGTAACACCGCAGTTTTAATCATAAAGAACTGTAGAAACTAGATTCATACCTTTGAAGTTACACAATCTTCTAGATTATCGTTGTTGTCATATGATGGCTTGTAGAAGTAATACGACAACATAAGGCAGACAACTATTGTAGCCTTCAGTCCAACAGCTGCAAATCTTATTTAATATAAAGTGTTTAACACAAAAAAAAATTACCCTTGAGTTCTGGCAAAGAACTAAGGTTTCACTAAGCAAAGTCTAAAATAGTGCCTTGGCAAGAAAAATTTCTCCTGTTTGGGAAAATTTCCTCTTCTCCTTAAACAAAGAATACTTTTTGCTTTTTTCCTACACAGCCTACAGACTTTATAAACCACGCACACACCTGAGCCATTAAGCGTATTTGGGGCTTGCTTCTCATTAAACTGCATTCCTGTTGAAGACTGTAATAATCAAAGCAAAAAGAGATATCTAACAATCAGAATAAGTTTGGAAAAAAGCTTAGTATTAACCGGGGCAATACAAGTATGTAACTTAGAATAGGAAATGCCTTTCAGATCTCAATTTTCTCTCTTGTATTATATAAATACTCAAATTTCCCATTTATTAGTGTTGCCCCTCCAGAATTCCACTTAATCTTAACACTTTAACATACGCAATTTAAAAGTATTATACACGTTAATGTTCTTGGTCTTAGAGAAACGTTACTAAAATCTAAAATCTGTCTTAAACCAAACTGCTCTTTCGGATTTCTAAACATCTAAACCAAAGCAGAGGGAAAAAGTTGCGCAAATTCTGTATTAATGCTTCGTAAAGAAACTGGTTACGACTCTGTAGAAGATGGAAAGAAAAAGCAGGCTGTTTTTCCTCACAAAAAAAGGCCAAAAAGCTGGTCAATACGTTCTTCGTGTACATGTTGATGCCAAAAAATCATTATATTCCAATTATGAGAAGAGTGGTAGATTTATCAAATTAAGGAAACAGCTTATAATGCCAACCAAAAGCAAACATAGTTGTTGACAAGCTTTCAGCATCGTAACGCAAACATGACTGAATATCTCCACAATCTTCCTTCCATAGAACGCAAGTTCGATCAATGGCAAAACCAAAAATTACAGCTCCAGGAATTGAGCCTACAACGAATATAAAAAAGCAAAAATGTAAAATTTTCTTCTTATACTTATGATACTGTTTCACCAAAAATAAAACGTTTTTTGAGTTCTAATAACGAAAGATAGAACAACGGTAAAAACACTCTATCGACCCCACTTGCCCTACTAATATTGTTCGATCATAGAAAATTCAGTATTAAAATAGAGTTGAATAGCATACATACCCAGCACTCGCATAAAGAACCACGTAAGTCCAATAGATATATCCCGTGTTTCAAATGAGACAACTCTAAAATAAAAGCAATTGCAATCGTCATTAAGAGGTGTCTCACAGCCCTATTCAATTTTCATCTTCTACATCCGCTACATTCCACTCTGTTACTGTTAATAAAGTGCTAGAAAAGTATACTAGCTTTGATCTCTCACTGAACGATAAGCAACCTTAATGAAGCATTCTGTATTGGAATCGCGCTGGAGAAGGTAAAGAAGCATAAGATAGCAAAAATAATTAGAAACAGAGTTTTTGAACACGAACTTTCGCATAGACCCTAAAAACAGTGCATTAGTTCGCCCTGCTAAAACTAAATTTTTACATGCCAACAATGTATCTGTTGAACACGTAGAGAACAAAATTTAACCACATTCCTGAAAAATATAGAACAAATGTTTCTGCAACTAGTCCCTAAACTGCATTTTCTAAAATTTGCAGCTAAAGAGTCACTGACAGTTTAAAATAAGGAGTGATATCTCTTTTATTTACACTCTTCTGCGTAGTATATTGTATTATTTTTCTAAGCAAACTTAAGGGTTATTTTTGAATAGTCGTACATAGTTTGACAGAACCCAAATACTAATGTCTTTGGTTGTTAACTATTAAAAAAGTTAGATAAAATTGAAGCGATCAAGAACACCTTAACGAGTATTTGTACTTTATTCAATTTCTGAGTAAGCATTGAAGAGGGAACACATGTGCAGTCCTGCCATTCGTAATCGCCATCAGTCACTGATTCCTAAACTCTGAACTATCACTACAGTAACCAACAAGAGGAAAGAATAGAATATAGCATTCAAGCTATATAAACAAACAGTGCGCAGTTTCATTACCATAGTTCAAAGTTTTCTGATCTAGTTTCCGGTAACATAGATTTTTTTTTGAAATCTCTTAAATATATTTTTAGATTCAGAAGTTGCTATGTTCCTCACTTACCGTTAAGCAACCGGCAAAACACGGCGAATAATAACTGATTCCTGTTTCTGGATTACATATTGGATCATAGACTGTATCGCAGTGGCAATTAATGTTACAGCTGTCGTTTAGCGATGCTTTATAAGTTTGTTCACTACAATAATTTTTAAGTAGCTAATAAGTTGTTCCACAACAGCATAATCTCTGTGTTCAGAACATAACCACCAGCTAAACACGATAAGAAAATTTTTGTTGTACAAACCCGTTATAATCAAAAGCAACTCCGGCAAGAGGTAATTGTTCGCATCGATAGAAGAACACGAAGCAAAGAAGTAACGTTACAGTGTTAAATGCTATTGAAAGAGCAATCATTGAGCGAAATTTCATCACTTTTTTTGCCATAGCAGCACCAAAGAGGCTTCCAAGTAAACCCATTGGTACCACAATTACACCTAGAATTTTTAGGCAAAGAATTGCTCACCTAATTTTTCAAAAATAGCTATCCAAGTGCATCTCATTAGATGGATTAAATGGATCAGATCAGTTTAAAACAGTTAGCGGAAGAGAAGAAAAGTGCAGTAAAAATTTAGAAATGACAATTATTTGCTCTTTTTGACACATCTGAATTATATCAATCAGAAACCTGTAATTGTTGAAGCATAGCTAGCAGTATAGTTGAATAAATTTTCGAAGACTTTTGGAATAAAGGTGATAAATCCATTCATCAGAAATGCTTCAGTTGTTTGCATTAGAACAAGTGCCAACACAGTTGGATTTTTGAGTAAACTCTGTAAGAAACATCTTTATACGGTGAATGCCCCGTGAATTGAAATAATTCTTCAAGATAATTTTCAGCTAAAATAAACTGTTAACGATCTCTAAATTCCCGCAAAATCGTTTTAACACCTACCCTAACAGCTTTTATATATTCAGAAAACGACTTTCCATACTGACGATCCAGATCTTTGTGTGTTTGCTTGATATCTTTCAAGCGATTTTTCTGTTTCTCTGAACAATTCTTTAGAAATACTTCAAAATGCACTTGAGAGCATATTTGTAAGAAGACTCTGTTACAAGTTTATATATCATCAAAAAATATTTGAGCAAAAACTTTTCAAAGAAAATTTGCATAGGAAAGAAAAAGTGCTGAAACCTGGTAGTTCCTTTGGAAATCCATACAAAGGAATTGCGCTTATAATTGAAAGTATGCCAACAACCACAAAACCAATCCACCAAGCACCGTACCAACGTGGATCTGATGGACCACTGATTCCTAAGCTGAAATTTAGACTATAAAATGGCTCTTAAAATTAGATAGTGCAGAAACAAGCATCTCTTAACACTACAAAATAAAATTAAATTAATTGTCAAGAGCTTTCACTATATTACTTGTAAAACGCACAGGTGATAGTTAGTTTTTCCGATGTCGCCCCATATTTTTAAAAGTTGTCCACCTGCAATAAAGCCTAATGCTGGGCCAATAGTTGACACTGCCATATAAACACCTAAAACGGCACATATCTGACACTTCTTTATCACAAGCTAAATATTTTTGAACAATCTGCAATATTTTATCATAACTGACAGTGTGAAAAAAAACAGTTCTTTTTATTTTGAGTAACAAGTATTCTATGAGCTTCCTTTAAGCATAAATTTTTACTGGTCAATAACTGACCAAGATAAATCGCTGTTCGACTATGGGCAATATTTTCGTCCATATAGGAGATACCAATTGTAAAAAGAGGAGCTGCACCAATTCCAATAAAAAGCTGTGATAAGAGCAATATTGCATACCATCTATAATTAGACCATATTTAGTGATCCAAAATAATAGTTTTATCTTAGATTAACCCTCATATTTGTAAGAAAGAGTACAAAGTGATATCGTGCCAAAAGTGGTTATCTGTGCCTTAACTCAATAATCGCATAATGAAAACAAATGATTATGCTTGAAGAAAAAAAGTTGAATTTGAATAAAAATTTTCCTGCAGCCAATTTGTTGCAAATACGTTTCGTATAACTTTATTTATTAAAAAAACGATAAATAATAAAAGTAACAGAAATTTTTTACGTATTTCAATGACTGATTAGATTTATTATTCAAGGTTTTTCAGCTTAAGTCTGAAAATGCAGACAGCTTTTAAGTTTTTAAAGAAACTGCTCTCTAACAACATCTATTGATCTACAGTAGAAATTTAAAAATGCTTGGTTTAGGCGCTGTTTTTCTTGGAATTGAAAAGCAGTTCCAATCACCCTCTGGATTTGCGAAAAAGCCAAAGTGAAGATATTGACAGATTTAGACTAATGGCAAACAATACAAAAATTTTTGTGCAAAACTCTGATAAAAAGTATGATGAAATGAGAGTACAGAAGCGTAAGCGGGCTTAACCCATCAGGTTTCAGCCAACAACGTGGTGCTCGAGAGGAACAAAGAGAAGTAAAAAGAGAGTTTGAAAAGAAGATAATTATAACTATTGTCTAAAAAGGAACTTCTGCAAAGATCAGTTGAATTCTTATATTTCGCTGATAGTTAAGCTAACGGTAATAGTCCAAAGCCAGTTCTTCTTTGGTGTTACTAAGTATTCAGCATTCATAGCTGTTAGCATACTTCAGCATATCTTGATTTATCCAAATCACGAAAATCAATGTAAAATCAATTGTTCTTAGTAATCGAAAGAGACTCACATACGCACACACACAGACAACTGTTTATACTTCATCTACTATTTTATAAGCTTAAATTTTATGATTTATTACTCTAAATTATCATACTATTCAAACAGATGTTCCGTATCAAAAAAGCTATATTGTGTAGAATTTCAAAATACTAAATTTCGGCTGTTGACTAAACAGTTAGAATGTAAGAAAATATTCATAAAATATCTTAATCGGGCTTAAACGTTCTCCTACAAAGAGTTATAAACTTCTCTTAGACTACGTTTTCCTATAAGCGTTTGTATATTTTACAAGTTTATTTAATGCTTATAAATTGAAGAAAAAATACTGTTTTTTGAACAGAAGCTAATAGAAAAGACAAAAAAACCCGCTTTCTTCTGCTATCTAAAAAAGTCAATTTATTTGTTATACTGAAATTGTTCAACAGAAATTTTTCACAAGTCAAAGTTTAGGCACTAAGAATTCATCAGTGAGTACAATTGTTGTCTGTCCGCACGCAAATTGTTGCTCAAAAATTTTTTTGCTCTTTAAGTTGCTAAGAAGTTTTTGGACAGACATCTGTGACGATAATCCAAAAAAAAAAAAAAAAAAATTATTTTTCCCACGATTTGTTCAATGCCTTTCCGTCGCTCCGTTGAAAGATAGGTGAAGGAATGTACCAATAAGTGCCATGCTTTTTGGTCATGCATATTTTTCCAGAATTGCATAATGTATATAACCTTTTTGAAGCATTTCAGGCATGTTTTTAAATCATTATATACTCTTCTTTTTTTTGACAACATCTCAAAATATTCACTTAACACCTCCTGTATAAATCTCTATTCAATTTCCTTTCAAAATCAAAATTGTTTCTACGTAAGTCAAAATGCATTTTACCGTTCTCTCTATCACCTGGTAAAAAAGAAGGGTTACTGATGAGATCAACTCCAAGAGTCAGCATTACTCGAACAATTAGAAGCAACTAATACACAGCTTAAGAAATAATGATAAAATTGTTCAAATGACAATATATTTCTGTGTTTTCTTATTGCTGAAACCTACAAGCGAAAATAAATAATTGATAAAATGACTTACAATTTATTTAAAACATCTTTGCTTTGATCGCATAATTCAAAATTTTTTGCCAAATTGCAAAGGTCATTTTTTAGCTTTCCGCCAACAGAATAATTACCAGCCAAAAAATGTGGTAAAACCAACAGTATTGAGCCAGCACCAACAGCAACCATTCCTGTTGCAATTACAATACCTTTATGACCTAAAATTACAATACAAATAGGCAAAAAAATTGCTGTAACAAACTATCTTTCTTCAACAATTATCCAGTTAACTGTTCTCAGTTCAGTTCTCAAAAAACAGTAGTTTGAACAAAAAAAAGACAGAGAGTGCCGCAAAGAATTTATTATAATGTTAACTAACTTTTTGAAAGAATGTATTAAGCACTGCTACAACTTAAAATATATGCCTTTTTTTCGCAAAAAGCAAATACCCCATTAACAGCTTTTTCCCGAAAGTCAATAATCTCTTTTTATTTCTTTCAATAATGATGACTTACATTTGTTACCATAATAACTGATCGGTATCAATACAATAACTATTGCAACATCATAAAATGCACTAAAAATGCCAGACTGTGTACTGGACAAACTGAAACGTTTTTCAATTGACGATATACTGGTGGATATAAATCCGTTGACAATACTTCCTTGGCAAATTGCACATAACGATAGTGCAACCAACAAAAATGGTGCTCTGTTTAACAGTTGTAACCATTTTGGTTTAAAACTGCAAGAAAAAAACAACAAAAAAATAAACGAATAAATTTGAATTAAAATAAAAGAAAACTTATATAAAGATGGAGCTATTGTTAAGCTGTTTAAAACAAAAAAGCGAAGTAAATAATTAAACCGTAGTAAACTTTATCACAGTCTAAAGAAAAACTGTTAACTAACATGCCATATCCAAATTTTTTTGTTCTTGTTTCATACTCAGATTCTGTACTGCAATCAAAACTGGTATCCGAAATTTTATTCCCAGTCTTCAGTGACATTGTTTCATTGAACAACAATAGCCAAACTGAGGTATATCAACGGTACAGTAGGTGATGATGATGATGGCGATGATAACAACAACTTTATATTTGTATAATATATGTTCAAAACAAGAAAAAAAAAACTGCAGAGAACGATAACTAAAGTTTTTATAAACCAAAGTACACCGTTCTCCTCTTCTTCTTCTTCTTCAATTCTGTAATCTTTTTTTTTTCACTTTTTTTTTTTGCTTTTTTTTCTCCACTACCTTGCCTTTACAATCAGATCATTTTTCATTTCCAATATGGAGATCACCTAAACAAATGACATCATGAAATGTTCTTAGAACGATACGTGTTTTTCGTTTCTGTTTCCATTAGTCACTATTATTAACTGAATTTACTCCAATGATTTTTTGACTCATAGCAGTATTGTTTACAGGTAAAAAAAGAAAAACAAACAAATAAATAGAAAAAAATTATTTTTTCACCTTCTCACTTTTTCATAATGAATCATAAAAACTGAGGAATTACAGTCAATTTATTCGCTTTTTTTTTTCTCGTCGTTTATAGCCAACAAATGCTGGCAGCCAATTTTATCTGCGCTAAAATACAAACAGTTTTAGACAGAAAGAAATTGAAATGCCGATAAAAATAGTTTGGAATTGTTTGATTAAGAATATTTTAACATTTTCCAAAAAAAAAATAAACCACAAATTAATTAAACAATGAAAAAAAGTAAAATAAAAAAAACGATAATTGAAAAAATTGAAAAAAAGAAACTAATTTTACATTAAAAAAGAAAAAATGAAAAAAAAAAATAATTTTAGCACCAAAAAAAATGAATGCCGGACAAACTTTTAATTATTAAAATTTTTTAATCCAAAAAAAAAAAAACAATGCAAAAAGAAATTCGGTAGACTGAACCGAATTAAACACTGTAAAATTTTGGAATTGACAAGGACGGTAGTTAGTTTAAAAACGGTGGAAATTAAATATTAAAGAGTCAAGAAAAAACAGGGGAGAAGAGCAGCTTTAGGATAATTTCAGAAAGTTTACAAATCTAATAATTTGTGATTAAATAAAGCTTAGTAAGGTGTCTCAAAAGCCTATTTGAAAGAGCATCACAACTGAAAAGTGTATGTAACGAGATCCAACTCTGCTTTGGTTCTAAACTTAGCTCATTAAGCACAGTTCAAAAGGGTGATTCCCTCGACAACATAAATACCGCTTTCAAGACAAGAGAAAAACTTCACGGGATAAGCTACGTCTTCTTTATCATTTTTTTAACCTACACTTTTTGAGAAAGATATTTTTAGAGGAACATTAAGATAGATGCACTAAATGTTACTAAGTCAGTAACCCATAAAATTCTGTGATAAAAATATGGTTAAAATGCTTTGACTGCTAAAAAGTTTAGAAAGACAATATTGGCACAATTTAAAGTTGGATACTAGCAATAGTTGCACTAAATCTGTGGCCAGAGAGCAAAGCTTGATTATCTGAGAAGTCAAGCTTTAATTTATCATAAACAACACGACTGATTTCATTTTAACCAGCATTTTTAGCAGTCGCTAAAACTGATGTTTACTACTGGATGAGATAAAAGACTTTCAATTGATCATTAGGTTTGTTGTAGATAAATGCTGTTTTCCCTTTTCCTTTTTTTTCTTTTCCTTTTTTTCGCCCTTTTTTCGTTTCTTTTCCCAATAAACTCGACAAAATCATAGAACTAAAAAGCTAGAAAAAAACTGGTCAATGCTCCTCTAATCTGTGACAGTAACAAAGTATAAGCAATTTTCGTCTTCAATCTTTTTTTTTCTCACAGTGAATTCTTGATCACTGTATCAGCATCTGGAATAGTTTCTACAATTCGGGAAGCACACAAATGATATTGTTCTTGAGAACTTTAACAAGACAAAAACTAATCAACATCTTCTACAAGATATGTCCACCATTCTAAATGTTTTTAGAAAAGAAAAAAAACTTTGGTTCATTCAACATCAATGCAGAACAACAATCACAAAGGAAAAAAATGTAACAGAAATCATTGATGAATCTTTAAAATGACATTATGTCAACAGTTTGTCATCGTAAACCGTCGTCTGTTTACTTGGTTAAACAAAGTAGTCCCAACTTTTTCTTCTTTTTTTTTTTTCTGACTATTTAAAGTAACAAAAATTTAATAGTTGTTAAAATTTTTTTTTTTTTTTTGCAAATATGGAAATTTTTGCTCAAAACTATTTGTATCATTGCAAACACCAAAACTTACCAACGATTAT